TACAGTTGTCACTGAAAGAGGTTTCTAGGATGGGAAGAATTTTTTTCCAAGGCATTTAAAAACCATCTATATTAATAAAAGAAAAATGTGATGCTGTCAGGTCAGAAGACTTCATCATACCTGACGATGGATATGTTTTTAATTAAAACCTGGGCACGAAATTGGGTTTGCTTTGAATCATTGTGATGCCTGATCACTCTCCCGAGACACCCACCACCGTTGTTACTGATCGCTAACTCTTGACACCCCGAGGCCACTTTGTGTATTTAGCAGTAAGAAAGGTGATTTCTGAGGCCCGGCAGCTGTGAGTGTTAAAGCTATTGTGTGGGAGACAAAAGCCATTTTGTTCTGTTTCCCAGCCATTTTTGTATCATTGATACAGGAACCGTTTCATAAATGAGGTATAATTCTTCACCAGGGAAGGTCATTACTGCCGTGTTTCAATGTTGGCTTGTACTTCCTACAACAGAGGGGAATGTCTGAGCGCACCACTCTTTATGGAAAGAATCTTGGGTTCTGACCTTTGTTAAGATGCTTGCATTATAAATCTGTTAATTAGATCTGTGATATGATACCATCGTAACAGCACGTGTGCTTCCTGCCTTCCTTACTCTAAGCCACCAAACTCAAGTCTGGTTGGAGTGATTTTGATGTCAGCCTACTTGTCTTGGAAATTAAGTGGTGCACATACACAGTGGCACCTATATGTATGTACCAGTAAAACTGGATTTCTTGCACTACTCTTCATTGGCCTTGCCTGGGGAATTCTCACTGAGCAGATCAGAACTGATATTAATTTGAAGATCATGTACTTTGCCCCCCTAAATAGTATATTTATGACTCTCCTTTAGAAAAATGTGTCAGTCTAGGAAGTTTTCAGTTGCATGCAAAAGAAACAAACTGGCCTAAACAATAAGGGAATGCAGTGATCTATGTCAGTCTTCCCAGCTTTCACCCGTACCTGGGCTGGACCCTTTGCTGTGTGACTTCGAGGTTCTGCTCACCAGAGATAAGTACTTTTCCCCACCTCACGGGTATTGGGCTCAGCTACATGACTTGCTTCGGCCAGGCTTAAGTATTGTGTATTTTCACTTACTTTTCTGGCATGTCTATCATTGCCATGAGGAGAATATGCCTGTTATCTCTCATTTTAAAAAAAGAAAAGAGAAAAAAAGAAATGTGAGGCAGATCTAAAATCTGCAGACTGGAACCAGATTCCGCTGAGTCCAGCCTAGATCAGTCTGTTTCCAACTGACCTAGAGTTGCATGAGCAAGAGTAAGTGACAATTGTTTTAAGCCAATGCATTCGAGTGGTATGTTACACAGCACTATCATGGCAATATCTGACTGATACTCATGTAACTGAAGGGTCCAAAAGTAGCATAGGCTTCTGGGAGGGTTTCAAAAAAATTCCTATTCTATTAGTCTTATCCTCTCGGGGCTTAAGCCCAGGATGGTTCCCCATTTGGTGGCATGACACATGTAGCCATTTCAGGGTTTATGTTGCACCACATACCATTCAGAAAGTAAGAAGGCTTTTCTTCAGCCCAGCCTGGTGGGACAGTCAGTAGCAAACTGAACTGCAGAGTTGAAGCCATGTGATGTGGGTATGCATGCCCAAGACACTGATGAGCTGGAAGGCTGAGAAAAGAGAATTGAGGCATGACCTTGTAAAGGGTGCTTCTCTCTCTCTCTTTTTCTCTCTCTTTCTAACGCATATGCACATGCTCTCTATAGTGAATAAAATAAACAAAATTTTTAAAAAGAAAGCTTCTTTTCTTCAATCATCCTATAAAAGTCCTGGTTCACTCTGATTAGGACTTCTTAGGTTATGTGTCTACCCTTGGACAATCATTGAGCAAGAAAGGTGGGATTAGACCTGTCCCCTCTTGAAGATGAGAGTGGACCCAGTCTCTTCCAAAATCCATGTGGTCCCAAGCTAAATGTTGGATGCTGAGAGGGCCCATCTCATAGGCTAGTGGTTAAGGGACCCAGATCCCACATGGTCTTCTGTTCAAATCCCAGTCCTGGCAGCTTGAAAAACATACTGGGCACTGTGTGTGTGTGTGTATATATATGTGTGTGTGTGTATATATATGTGTGTGTGTGTATATATATGTGTGTGTGTGTATATATATGTGTGTGTGTGTATATGTCTGTGTTTCTGTGCCCAAAATCCCAATGAGATGGAGAATGTAGATGGGATTGCAGTGTGACCACACCCTATTGAGGGAGCGTTTTCTCCAATTCTCTCTCTATCGCACCACATACCATTCAGAAAGTAAGAAGGCTTTTCTTCAGCCCAGCCTGGTGGGACAGTCAGTAGCAAACTGAACTGCAGAGTTGAAGCCATGTGATGTGGGTATGCATGCCCAAGACACTGATGAGCTGGAAGGCTGAGAAAAGAGAATTGAGGCATGACCTTGTAAAGGGTGCTTCTCTCTCTCTCTTTTTCTCTCTCTTTCTAACGCATATGCACATGCTCTCTATAGTGAATAAAATAAACAAAATTTTTAAAAAGAAAGCTTCTTTTCTTCAATCATCCTATAAAAGTCCTGGTTCACTCTGATTAGGACTTCTTAGGTTATGTGTCTACCCTTGGACAATCATTGAGCAAGAAAGGTGGGATTAGACCTGTCCCCTCTTGAAGATGAGAGTGGACCCAGTCTCTTCCAAAATCCATGTGGTCCCAAGCTAAATGTTGGATGCTGAGAGGGCCCATCTCATAGGCTAGTGGTTAAGGGACCCAGATCCCACATGGTCTTCTGTTCAAATCCCAGTCCTGGCAGCTTGAAAAACATACTGGGCACCGTGTGTGTGTGTGTGTGTGTGTGTGTGTGTGTGTTTGTGTGTGTGTGTGTGTGTGTGTGTGTGTGTGTATGTATGTGTGTGTGTGTATATGTCTGTGTTTCTGTGCCCAAAATCCCAATGAGATGGAGAATGTAGATGGGATTGCAGTGTGACCACACCCTATTGAGGGAGTGTTTTCTCCAATTCTCTCTCTGTCTCTCTAACTCTACCTGTCAAGCACACATGCCTTCTGGCAACTAGAAATAATAATAATAATAGGAATAATAATAATAATAGATGCTGAGAGGCATTGTGAAGTACACAGAGAGTCTAAAATCTCCTAATGCTGTTTCAAATATCTGTTAATACTTTTTTTTGATTCAAGACACTTTTGTAGCCCTCTGTTGATAGGCTATCTAGAGCTAGGGAGAAAAGATTTATTCTCTAGATCTTAGATATTACCTCATAAGTGGCAAAGCATATGGCCACACCCATCCCACCTAGGTAAATGAGAAATAGGACTTTTCCATTAGCCAAATAGATTCCTAGTTCCTGGTATCTCAACATTTTACGAAAGGTTTGGCCTAGTAGAATGTAAAGATTTTTTTACTAAAGAATGAGTTAATGCTGACTTAATGAGAATTTATCAGAGTGGGGTAAGGTGATGAGGGTGTCATTCCACTGACTTCTGGCTTTCATTATTCTGATGAGAAGTCAGTTGTAATTCTTGTTACTGTTCAGACACATAATAAGCACCAATAAAAACATGCAGAATTAAGTAAAAACAAAACCAGGGATAGAAGGTGGTGTGGTGGTTAGGGTGCTGGATTTCCACATAGCTGACTGTGGTTTAAGCCCTAACCCCAGCAGCTTGAAAATCATGCTGGGAACATGTGCATTTGTACCTCAAATATCAAGGAACTAGAGGGGAAGGGATTGCCATGTGGCTATCACCACTGGAGGGTGATTTCTCACCTTCTCCTCTCTCTCCCTATCTCCAGTGAGAGAAGACATGCCTTATGGCAAAAAATTTTTTTAAAATAGAACCAAGATCTTTCTGCAAGTAGTCTTACGTTCTTTCAAGAACACCCCACACCACCTTCCTTAGTACATTTAATTTACCCACTATAGCCTCTGCAGTAAAGTAACTCAAATGAACAACTAACACAGGTCATTTTTGCAAATACTAAAATTAAAGTGATCATCAGTAATCTTCTTTGCTTCTGAGAGTCCTCCCTAGCCCCAAAGTATCTGAAAGATGAATTCTTAGCATTTAATACATTTTTGTCATTAATAAATATTCAACATTAACAAAATGTTTGTTTTCTACAAATATCATTGAGCACCAACTGTCCACAAGATACCATGTTAAGAAGTGTGAGGGATGCAGAATTGAATATGAGATAATTCTTATCTTTCAGCTAATATAATTTGCCACTCAAAGTTTCAGGGACACTTTGGCCTGAAGTAAAGGCTAACCTTTCATGGAACTATAGATTCTCAGGGAACAGCCTAGGTGTCGTCTTGTAGGATTATTTACCTTGTCAGCTCTGGTCATTGAGGGCCTTGTTCTATATAAAATATCTGTGCAGTCCCTCCCTCCATTTCCCGTTCAGGATTTTGGAAACACACACACACACACACACACACACACACCGTATTTCTCAAGTTCTTGGGGTCCAGGGCTCAGACTGTGCAGTTGGCTGTATGGAATCCAGCCACCTTTACCACACCATTGGCTGGCCTGTTACATGAATTTCTTAAAAATACCTTCCCATGGGACTAGCAGTTAGTGTAATGGCTATGTTGCTGGACTCCCATGTAGCTGACCACGGTTCAAGTCCTGGACCCGGTGACTTAAACTCACGTCAGGTGTGTACATGCGTGCCCAAGATCCCGAGAGGAGAATGGAGGAGAAGGGATTGCAGTGTGGCTATCCCCCCTGGGGGATGATTTCTCACTTTCTGTCTCCCTGTCTCTCTCTGTCTTTCTGGCAAGCACAAGCGCCCTATAGGAAAAACCTCTCAAAAAAAAAAAAAAAAAAATACCTTCCCATGTATTTCACCATGGCTGTGTATGGGCATTATTAGGCTTGTTTTGCTAGTAATCTTTGCTGTTTAAGTAAATCCATATGTGAGTAATTGCCAAATCAGGGGTGTGGACTCAGTTACATTTGCCCTAAGTCCCTCTTTCTGTATTTTTTTTCCTAGATGAGTTACGCCTTGTACCATACAAACAGAAAACTAACATTGGAACCTAAAATAACCATCAATGCCAAGATCATTGTGGTTGGCGCATCCAATGTTGGAATTTCCTTCCTAGAGACTTTGGTATTTTGGTAAGTTGCTTTACTTTATTTACTTATTTATTTTTAAATAATAAAAATATTTCTTCTTATACCTGAAGAGTACCCCTTCAGAGAACAGCTCTGAGTGTATTTATCAATCCATATACCTTGCCTATGAGGATTAATGAATCTGTATAATGTTCTAGACCAGGACCTTAGGCCAAATCTGACTTGCTACCTATTTTTAATCAATAGAGCTTTATGAAAACACAGCCCTGGGGACATCAGGACACAGCCCTGATGGCATAGTGGTTATAGATAGCACTGGACTCCCACATGGTTGACTACAGTTTGAGTCTCAGACCTGGAGTCTTGAAAATCACACAGGGTGTGGGTGTATGCGCATGTGTCCAAAATCCCATCCCAGGAGGAGGATGCAGGAGAAAGGATTGCAGTGTGGCCATCTCCCATGGGGGCGGGGGCGGGGGCAGGGATTTCTCACTTTCCCTCTCTGACTCTCCAGTGAGCACATGCACCCTATGGCAAACAAACAAACAAACAAACAACAACAACAAAAAAAACACTTAAAAGAAGAAAAGCCTCACTTTTGGTTTGCTGAACCATACTCTAAACACATTTTTCCATTATTGGCCAGATTGTAAGAATCACCTGGAACATTTTTTGTTCTTTTTTTTTTCTTTTTCCCCGTAGGGTGCATGCACTCACCAAAGAGTCAGAAACAGTGAGAGGGAAAGTAAGAAGTCATACCCCAGGAGAAATGGCCATGCTGCAGTCCCTTCTCTATTCTCCTCTGGGGATTTCGGGCGTTCATGCACACATGCCCAGTGTGATTTTCAAGCCACCAGGTCCAGAACTTGAACCACAGTTGGCTATGTGGGAGTCCAGTGCCTTAACCACCTCGTTGCCTGATGGCCCCACAACTTTACCTTCTAAAAAGTCTTTTGGATGTTTGAAAAGTGACTTTTGTAGACTGCAGAACCCTGGGTTAAAAGTGTACAGCTTTTTTCCAAATCTATTTCTTGAGATCACATGAGAAACTTTTTCCCCCTCTTTGGAGAGGTTTTTGCTATAGGGCACGTGTGCTCGCCAGACACACAGAGAGAGACAGAGAGACAGAAAGTGAGAAATCACCCCCCCAGGGGGGATGGTCACGCCGCAATCCCTTCTCCTCCATTCTCCTCTTGGGATCTTAGGCACGCACACACACACGCCCGGCATGAGTTTTAAGCCACCAGGACTGGGATGCAAACCACAATCGACTACGTTGGAGTCCAGCGACTTAGCCATTACACTAACTGCTGGTCTCCTGATCACATGAGAAACTTTAGCTACCCTCAAAACTACAGGTACTTACAGGTAAGTGGGGACATGGGAAAATGCAGCCCACCATGACTTCTGGGGAAGCCAGCAAAGTGACCAGCCTGTGAAAGAAAGATGACCCCTTGTGAGGTGTTAGATAAGGAAGATGGAGGAAATGACCCCTGAAAGATATTTCTGCCTGGTTAACATGAATACAACCTAACCCCAAATGGTTATTTTGCTGATGTGACATTGTCTTAACCAAATAAAGAAAAGAACTGAATTTTTTTTCACTTTCTATTCAATTATCTAGAACACATCTTCAGTTAGCTAGAAACTACCTGTCATTACTAAAGTCAGTGACAAAGTGCACATGCTTTAAATATGGTGGCCAGCTAGCAGCAATATTTCATTGCAAGAATGAAATGATGAGAAGCACCTAGAAATATTCATTTTCCTGTGTGTGCTACATTGTAGTTTAATGGGTCTCTTCATTTTAAACTTCTGAACAGTGGGATCAGCAGGTAGCATGGTGGTTAAGACACTGGATTCCCACATGGCCAACTATAGTTTGAGTCCTGGACCCAGTGACATGAAAATCACACCAAGCACATATGCATGTGAGCCTAAAATCCCAAGAGGAAAATGCAGGAGAAGGCATTGCAGCATGGCTATCCCTCCAGGGTGTCATTTTTCACTTTCCTTCTCTCTCCTTCTGTCTCTGGCCAGTCCACATCATGCCCTATGTATGGCAAAAACCTAGAAACAAAATAAAAAGCTTCTGAATGGTTAAGTCTTATGCAACCATTTTTGAATGATGAATTATCAGGGTGGAGTTATGAAATTGTAGTCATCAAGAAGTGATCATAAACAGGTCTTAAATCTTGATTTAGTTATATATTTACTCATAGTATTTTATTTAAATGATTACATTGAAATATATGCATGTAATTTTCTTTTTGTGGAATCAACTTAAATTTAATAAAGAAAAGTATAAATTTTGATATAAATGTGGAGTTGATTAAATTCCCCAATCAGATGGACTTTTTAAAAGCATTTTAAAGTACTCATAATTCTCTATCATCATTACACAGATTATATACACAAGAAATATACTGGTATCAGTTTACGGATCTCTAATCCTTAAGAGAGGAAGTCGTTTTCTCATTATTTTCTCTTGTTATTTTAAATTAGCAATCACCATAGTAACCTACTGCATATTTACTTTACCTGTAGAGCTGCCATTTAATTTTATAAATGATTTGAGCTGGAATGAAATAGAAGAAGTACAGTTTTTTACCAAAGGTGACCACCAATGAGGATTAAATCCACATTTTGGAAGGAAGATTTAGAAAAATCACCCTCCTGTACTTTTGAGCAACATTATCAG